CGTAGGAGCGGTATATTGGGAGGGTGTAGGAGGAAACTCGAGAAGGTGGATGGATACCGGCAAATTCTTTATGTTTAGAAGAACAGAGGGATTGGAGGGTGGATGAGGGAGCAGAGTGTTCCCTTGGGCCATCTTTAGGTAGTTTTGGATGTCTTCAAGAGTTTCTGGAGGGGAGGTGGGTAAAGAGGCCTGAGAAACAAAGGTTCTCTTGTAAGGAGGAGAGGAGAGGATAGATATCTGAGGAGCAGAAGAAGAGAAAGGTGTAGGAGAGGATGTGGTAGGAGAGGGTGGAATGGAATATTTAGATTCCCTTGGGCAACAAGTAAAGTGAGGAGGAGGGGTAGGTATCAGGGAAGTGGTAGAGATTAGAGTATCTAGACTTCAACTGGAAAAGGAATTTTACAGGGGGATTGGGCAAGTAAAGGTAGGATGGTTCATTGTATAGGGAAGAGATACTGAGGGATATGCAGAAATATCTTGTGGAGGAGGGGGGCAGAGCGATAGACTGTTTTGGAATAATTTGAGAGAGAAAAACGTATGTCTTGCTTCCTGTCTGGCATCACATAGAGTAAGGCCTAGTTTGTATCTGAGGACTACTACCTGACATTCAAGCTTATAGGCAGAGTAGCTCCTATAAATTACATTACAGGAGTCTCCACAGTCAGTTGGCACATGTGCATGACTGAGCAGGGCAATCTGAACGGTCATAACAAGGTAGGGCACATAGAGGGCAGCAAGCTGTGGAGTTACAGTGTTTGGCTGGGTGGCCAAAATGCCAATATTTCTGACCCTGATGAGGAAGGGGATGATATGGTCAGACATAGATGGATAATCCACCAATATAAACTTCATGGGGGATGTCATGTCTATAGAAGCTAATCTTGGCAATATTGACATAGGACTTACGCTGGCCTCTGGGAGGAATAGTGTAGCACTGTACTGCTACTGCATCATAATCAGCAAAGCAGGTAAGTAGGTCATTTTCACAGTCAGACAAGTTTTTGTTGTAGATAGGACAAGTATTTGAAGGGATAGAAACAGTTCCAGTACAAGTATCAAGAGGGGTGAGGTTCAGCAGGAATGGGTTTGCCACTGAGGTCAGTTTGGGTAGATAGTGTACAATCTTGGGATTCAGATGTAACTGTGACAAGGCATGAACGATCAGAGGTAACTTTGCCTATTTGTTTTTGGAGGCGCTGTTGAACAAGAAGGATATTCTCAGAGTAGGGGGCTGTGGGGGGGAATCACAAAACAACAATCCCATTTGGCAGGGCTAAAGAGAGTACTCAAAAGGTTTGCAGAGGCTCTAGAAAGACATGGGCAGGGCAGGAGGAAGTTGGGGTATTGTGGGTGGTGTAGTTCTGTGAGGGGGAGGACAATAAGGATGAATAGTAGTTATAAGGGACGAGAGGATAATCACAAAAGACTGTGCAGTAAGAGATGGAGAGGAGAATATTGGGAGAGAGGAAGGGGTGTATTCTGGAGGTTGAGTAATAACCTGAGTGGGTGGTTTGGAATGGATAGAGTTGTCAGTAAACATCAATGAGGGGGTATTAGCATCAGCGGTCAGAGCCATGGTCAAAGGTGGGGCAAGGGTCAGAAAACCACCAAAATCAAATTCAGATGGGCTAGTTGATGAAAGGGCAAGCCTTATGCCCTTATTAAGGGTAAAATATCTTCAATACTGGCCATGGTGAGTCTGAATAAAATGGGGAAGAGAAACAGTCCACCCCTCAGGGTCCCAAAAAGGGATAAGGGCAATTAAACAAGAGAATACCAAGCCCATGGCTCCCAGAGGCTGTTCATGACAGACACAAAGCCAGTAAAATCCTTTCAGCATGGCTCTCATCCCTTACAAACGGGACCGAAGAAGGGGATGAAGAAGATATGGAAGAGGAAAGGAGAAGAGAAGACCAAGCAAAATTAATTGAAGTGAAGACTGAGGCCAAAGGAAGGGGTGATCCCCTACCTTGGGCCTCAGTCTCTGTCTCCTAATCCCCCCATGACAACAATGAGCTAGGTATTGGAAGGGCATTTAGAGGAGGTTAATTGTTAACCTGTTATATTTACATTTACTTATTTTGCATATATAAGTGAATATAAGAATAAATAAGCAGCATATATCACATGGTAACTAATTCTCAAGAGCATGATTCTTAACCCATTCGTCCCGAGTGTCACATATATGAGACACAGGGAAAAAATAAACAGTTTCGGGCTGCCCGCCAGTGCGATGCTGTCTCGGAGCCGTGCTCCGCGGCAAAAGCGGCGGGCGGCGGCGGGCGGACAGACTCCGGGAAGCTCCGCCCGCCGATTTTGTAGCTTCCCGGATTTTTTTAATTTTGGCTACAAAATGTACCCCGGCGCGGGTGGGTTAAACTGAAGGGTGTAACACTAGTAATTTCAATGTTGGGAGCAAGTCTTGAGCGGAAAATAAGGAAATTCTCCGATCATATCTACTATTTCAATAAGAGCATGGGTTTATACTTAGACATTTATAAAAGCTTGCAAAAGTATCACTTTTACCAACTTAAGTTTCTTGTAGTTTGCATAGGCTAAATTTTTAGTAATCATTGATCCCCTCCTTATCCCTCAAAGTTCATGGGAGAAGGGGGAGGTTTACTTGTTCCGAACCTGTATGCTTCTCATTCACAAGCCTCATTCTTTCCCAGTCTCTCTCACTTGCCTTCCATATTTTTTTTCATTCTTTAGAACATGGGAGGGAATTTTATTCACATAAACAAGGGCAAATCTTAGGGGATAACAGTAAGATAGTCAACAACTGCTGTTCGAGGTTTAATATCTAAATTGCATTTCAATGTCCATAAGCACTGAGCACATTCCCTTAGAAGCTCCTACACAGCAGTCATGTCATATTCCCTGGCAGTACACAAAATTCATAAATTCCGTTAGATTTTTATTGGGTATTGAGGTCTGTCAAAACATGGCTAATTTCTACATCAGGAATGGCTCTCTACTATGAAACAAATATTCTCTGAGATTGGTAATTCTTTGTCGATACTTCATATACAAATATTTCTTTTTAACTTACGGGAAGTCCTTCATTTTACCCAAGATCATAGGATACTTCAGTCAGGGCTTTAAAAATAACTATTCCTAGTCCCCTTATAATGTGCAATAATCATAGTAGTCCCATATATTCTTTAATATCTTAATAATTTTATGACTATGCAAATTAATAATTCTGTAGGCTATGGAGGTTCTAGGGAAGAGAGAAGAAAATTATATCTAAATTAGGTTCAGAAAGGCAAAGACATGAACAAATTGATTAAACCACATTTATCTACGGTTATACAAGAGTTAAAAGATGAAAAAAGAATGCAAAAAAGCAAGGAAACCCTGAGAGAGTATGCATGCAAGTAACAAAAGGAAGAGCTAAAGAGGTGAAAAGCTAATGTTAGTGAATGAATGATAAAATAATGAAAGGAACTGTAAGAGAGAGAAGGATATGTGTTCAACAGCATTAACACCCGTCAGCCACTGGTCTATCGGACAATTACTGGAACCTCGAGCAGTGACCAGCAAACCTCAACTTGTGATTTCGGAAGTAACGAGCTTGTAAATCAAAACTCAAAGTCACGGAGGCCATAACCATTGCTTAACAGTGAATAGCCGTCAGGTTGGACTTGAGATTCCAGGTCTTCCATCCCAGATAAGTCATTTTCAAGTGATTTGGATAGAGCACAGCCACTACAATTATGAAAAAGTAGTACCATTTTGTAAGCCACTGCAAGTTCATTTGGTAACAAAGCATGAAATGGTGATTAGTTTATAACAAAGAATGAAATAGCAGTAGTTTTTTCATTACATCTTTGGCATTTTCATCAACATCATCAGTAACTATGAAGTTACTAAACACGGAAATATAACAACCTCAGCATCTGCTTTGACCTCCTGCCTAAACAGAAAATCAGCAGAATGAGGCAACTACCGACCCAAAGTATCCATAAAATAATATGCCAATCACAAGACCCATTTCATTTGGCTCTTGGCCTGGAGTTTGTGCCAAATATTTGAAATACATCACTATTTTTGTCAACATGGAAGAAAGCATAAAAGGCATAGCAGGAGTAAGTGTTATACGAGCTATGTGATACGGCTCATATTATGAAAATAACCTGGTAAGATTTATCATCAAAAAAGATTTGTGTTGCAGAATATATTAGGCAGATTTTGTTTGCCTCCACTGGATTGCTCCTCACATACACGTTACAAACATATTTTGCATCTTTTTATACCGAAATGTTCTACATTAGACAGAAATAAAGTACAAAGTACAAAGCTTATATCCCTCCTTGAAAAATTTAAATACCCGTGGTTGTCAAACTTGCTGGCTGTGGCAAAGGATATTAACATGAAAACTAATGATTTGAAAAGCAATTGAAAGTTGGAGGTAATACAAATTCACCAAAACATGTAAAAAGAGAACAAGGATATGGTCAGTGATGAAGACCTTGGTTGTCATGTTCTAAAAATTTCCTGACTTGGCCTTGGCTCAAACTATGTGACAGGTGTGGCAGGGTGAGGCTCAGACATGATGGAACGGGTGAAATACAGATGCAGAAGCCTTACTATAGTGTCATGAGTTGTCATGCAGGAAGTGAGACTGGGTAAAGGTGAGATGGGAATGAAAATGAAAGACAGGGAGAGGCAGAGGCAAGGGTGAAAGCCCCACCTCAAGTGTCAAGGGTGACACACAGCAGGGGAGCAAAGGAATGTTTGGATGAGTGAGATAAGAGTGAAAGGGCAGGAGTGAAAGGCAAAGATAAAGACTGAAAGGGAGAAGGAAGGGCGGAAGGGCCCCGCCTCAAGTGTCAAGGGTGACACATGGAGGTGGGGCAAGGTGAGGCAGGCGAGATAAGAGTGAAAGGGCGAGCCTCGAGGGCCGAGGGGCGCGGCCCCGAGGCGCGGGGCGAGGGTGCCTCGAGGAGGAAAGGGTGTGCTAGGGTGCCCGAGGGCCAGGCTGAGGCAGGGCTCACCTCGAGCGTGCGGATCTCCTGCTGCGTGAGCTGGGCGCTGGTGGCACACTGCGACCTCAGGCGTTCCAGGTGCTCTGCCTGCGAGGCGATGAACTGGTGGTGGGTCTCACACGTCTCCAGCGCCCGCGCTATCACCTCCTGCACGCCCACGTCCACGCCCACGCCCACCTGCTGCTGCTGGTGATGGGGTTGGTTGTAGCCATCCCCATGGAGCCCTCCCGCCGCCAGCCTCCCTCCGCCGCCGCCCCAGGACATGGTCTCCCTTACTATCTGTCTATAGACACTGCACACAAGACGAGGCGCCGTGACCCGCGCGTTCCCTTCATGCTTGGTCGCCGCCTCTCCGCGCTGAGCCGTTGCCTTACACAGAACACCGAGCGGAGCGCCGCACACTGGCCGCCATCATGGATGCCCACCAAACATTGCTCGCTCGCTCCGCTGCGTTCCAGCAGCCGCCCCCGCCCGCTCGCCGCCCGCCGCCACGGGCCAGCAATGTTCGGAATTGCTACTGGGGCCACACCTTTCCGAAAGGACACAAAAGGGCTTATTTACTTGCTGTTTTGCAATTTCCCAATGGCGCAGGCTGTAACGCATATCAGCGAAGAGGAAACGTCTCTGTGGCAATAACTGACATTTAAAGAGATGTTAACAGTCCTTTTTCTCCTTTCCCTTATTTTTTCAAAAATCCTTTTGGAACTACTGCGATGGTCATATATATGATTCATCCTGACTTCCGAAGTATAATCAACGGTGAAACAAACGGTTCGGTCAGAGAAAACGGGAACGCCGCCGAGTGTTGTGACGTGCAGCTGCAGGAGTTCAAGTCAAAAGTTTACGGTAGAATTTCTCTCTTTCGCCACGGTGATCTTCTCACAATTCATACTTTTCAGAAACATAGCATGCCGTCGATGGGGTTAGAGTTATCGACACACATGGTCTCAGTTTCTATGGTCACAGATAAGGCAGATAAGGGTAACCGGCCACTCCCGGGCACAGGCGCTGGGTAAGTTTCAAGGTCGGCTCCTTCGCAGGATAATTTTTAGTAAAAAAAGGACAGGGAAAGAGTAAGAGGATTCACGAAGCCAAGAAGTTGGAGCGTAGACTTAAGTACATTGTCGCTGTTATGCAAATCATGTTATGGTTGATCCAGCATGTTCTCGTTGTGCAACTTGCAAAGAATATGCAGTGTACTTGACAATGCCAAGCTAATATGCCGGCCATTGCAGTCCTATTATTTGATACGAGATCTCTTTATTAAATTCGCAATCACCAGGCCAATGCAGTCCTGTTATTTGATTCGAGATCTAATTACTAAATTCACAAACTATCAAAGTCTTCGGTACGTGACATGAAATTGAATTATAGCTTTATTTGTATGACATGAGTTCCATGATCACCAGGATAAGGTTATGATATATTGAAACCAAGACATTTCCTGTGCAAATTGAGAATTTTGTTTGGGTAATATTTTGGAATAGTTATGCCAAATGGATTATGCTGATTTTGGCATCAATGGATTCCTTTCACTCTCTAGTTTCCAAATTATTTATACTTGTCCCCGACACCAGGGGATGGCTTGAAAGGTACCAAGAAAACTATATGATGAAATTTGAATAATATACACAGATCTGGTCACTAATGCAGGGGGCTGTGCCACCTGCGACCATGCCATGGAAGCTGCCGTCCCTTTACCCCCACCCAGGAAAACAAAGAATCCACATATTCATGGCAGGAGAGAGCCTTCAACTGTCATGCTGGGGAGTGCCTGTTGCCAAGTCCATCCGACACTCTCCTGCCAGGAATACTTGGAGGATTCTCTGTTTTTCTAGATGGGGGGGATGGGGGGCGGTAGCATCTTATGGGGGTTCACATGTCTAATTACCTAACAGGGGCACAGCCCCCTGCATTAGACAATATAGTGACTATGTGTATATTCATATTTTACCTGGTATTTTCATGCCCTCCCCTGTTATCAGGACCAAGTTTGTCTCTAATGAGGGGATTTCTATGCAATATAATCAACATATTTGCATTGTAAAGGGCGAGAGAAGTCCATTGATACCAAAATTGTCAAAATCCATTTGCAGAACTATTTTTAAAAATTACCAGATATAGAAATATGGTTCTTATAGCAGCTCTTTCAACCTCTTTCAGCCACAGCAGCTGTAACTGTGTTGTTTACGACTCTCTTTTGGTTTATGTTGCCGAGAACGACTTACGTAGATAATAGGAAATGGACACCATCATCCTGTAGAATTTAATAGTCATAAATAACATGGAACATAGCTGCTGTGGCCTCATAATTGACAATAATATCCACTGCATATCACTGTTGAGGGACTAAGTCCACAACACCTTCACACAACCAAAGTTTTAATGTTGCATTGTCTTTAAAGTTGGCTACAAAGTGCTAATAATGGGAGTTACAGGGGAGCTTCCCCCCCATTTCTAGGAAAAAAATTGAAGGTAGGAAAAGTTAGGTTGTATTTTCGGGTTTGCATGACACCTAAGTCTGGTTTTGGGACATCGTTACTCTCATTAACAAATAACTACTTCTTGACTTATAAGTCAATCTGCTGAACTAATAATGAAAATATGCTATACACAGGCTATATACAGGTAAATAGAAGACTTTTTTAAAAAACTAGAACATGAAAACTCATTCTGAATATGTTTAAACCACAAAAATTAAACCACAAAAAGCTCACATGGCTCAGTGTTTGCATTTGAGCATCACGGTAGTGTTACAAACCCTCCCGTTCAAGCGTAATCTTTATAGTGCACAGAAGAATTCTGTATTTTCCAAAGGAATGCAAAGCAGAAGAGGGATCTCCTCACATAATTTTTGAAAACTATTCATTAGGATTACATTTGGTTTGTAGGTACAATAAAAAATCTATTGAATGTGCTTCATCAGGAAGAGGTGCTGCCAATTGATTGATAGTAGCCCTCTTGTTCTTAGAGCCAGTTGTGCTGTGGTTCATAAATTCCTTTATATATCAGTGTGTGCATTTCCTATGGGACTGTAGAGAGTGGCCTTACTACTTGATGCAGCCTTTGTAGACAAATTGATATAGTTCATAGGATATAGAGGAAATACTTCTATCAGAGTGGATATAAGTAGGCATACCAGATATTGAAAAAAGCTATACTAGTCAATTTATTACTGTAGTTGGTCATATCAGCATATGGAAAGCAAATGGGAAGGATAAGCATATTTCTTGGTCTTTTTCAACATTAACAATGTCATAAGAAAAAGTGTCTTAGTTTTCATCAGTCTATTGAATCCATAAACTATATATTATGGAAGCCACTTTGTAATAATCTTAAATAATGCTTTATATAGAGTGAAAAAATGAATATATAGATATAGAGAGAAAGAAATCATATAGATATAGGTAGAGTGTTGTATGCATATGTTATACATATATTTGTGTAGTACATGTATTCATATATGTGTGTGTATGTATCTATGTAGACATACACTGTATATACTGTATTGGTTTTTAAATAAGGTGATAGTATGCCATTTTTTGTTGTCATATAGCATCAATTGATTACAAACTTGCATTCAGGTTATGTCATGATCTCTGCTACAAGAAGCTTTGTTAGAAGTGTAAGTAATGATGATAATAGACCATTGGTAATCATCCAGAATAAGGCAACAACCTCTGTCTTACAAGAAAATTTATAGCAGTTTTGTTGGCTTCTGCCATAATGCACAGAAGGGAGTCCATGGCATCACTTGATGTGTTAATTATCTGGATAAT